GAGGGTGAGGGTGAGGGTGAGGATGACGACAAAGCTGATGCTGACACTGATGCTGACGGTCACGATGACGATGAAAGAGGAGGAGGCGGAGGACGAGGAGGAGCCAGAGGAGGATCAGAGTGATCAGTGCACACGTTGGTGTTCCTAAGAGCACAAAGCTACTCATGCGACCAGCTTTAGCATGGCCTCGTTCACGTTTCAATACTATCTTTGTCGTTGCTACTACTCTTCCAGGCACTGCTTGTTAGAACTGCTGTTGGTGCTACCTTGACTTGCAGTATGATTATAAAGGCTCCAGTGCCGAAAATTCAGCGTCACCCTCTTAAGCCGTTGGGTGCAAGCAAAGACAAACCCTTCGGAGCCTGAAGTCCTTCAAGCACGGTAGGGTTCAGGGTTTGTGGGTCGTAATTATTAACCAGTAATACACCATAGTGATAAGTAACTAATAAACATACTAATTAATCATGTACTCTGATCACTACCCAGCCTGCGCCGAGTTGGGCTTGAAGCAGGTTCAAGTGCTGCTGGGCCTTTCGCCAGGCTTCGGGCTGCTAGCATTGTCTCTGTCGCTTCTTTACTGCTCAAGCTGTCGCCAACCTTGGAGGTTCATGGGTAGTCAAAAGTGGGGTTATAAGCAGGGTAACTATAGTTATAACCCATATTAGGGGATTTTTATCACCCTACTTATAACTACCCATGAACCTCCAAGTATTGTTACTATTCCGACTGCTATTGCTACTGTCTGCTGCTGTTCAAGAACATGATATTTTCTACCTGCTGTTCTACCAGCTACTTCTTGCTGCTATCTCGGCGATCTGATACCGTTACGATTGAGAGCCCGAAATGCGGCAATACGATGCTTGCAGCTTAACGGTGCGAGTATAATTGCTATTTGTACTGTTCGTGCTATCGTTGTCAATATGACTGAGTATGTAGCTGCTGCTACGGCGATGGTTTCTTTCTTCCACGGTTTATACCCTGATTCGAGGCTGCTGCATTTGATTCGCTCATGACGTTGACCTAGACCTTATCAACGACGTTAAGTACCAGGTGTTGGTTGCCTGCGAAATAACACATTGTTGGCCTTGCTCTGCTATTTCTGTATCCCCACCTGCAGCAGTGCAGTAGCGCCTCAAGTTGCAGCCCGCTGTGTCAGTCGACACCAACTGCACCGCTGATTGCAGCGCAGCACATCGAATGGCTCATGAATCCCATGAACCTTGCAAACTTTAAACCGTGAAGCCCCCCTAAACTCCAAGAAGCTCAGGCCTGAAGGATCGCCATGGCCTGGCTGGCGACGTGTTTCAGAGGTTCATCAGTACCCAACAGCTCTCCAATGAACTTATCAGGGCTTCAGGCTCAGGGATCCAGGCTCTTCGAGTTGCATACTTGAAAAGGAGTGCGGCTTCAGCTAGAGCTACGGCTTGGGCTTTGTTTGCCCGCCCGGGCTTCTTTGCCACAATGCGGCACAGCTGCCTGCGCCTGAATCCCAGGGAAAACAGGCGGCTGCGTGCCCAAACCTGGCAGTTGCGAGGCTCAAGATCCAATGCCCTCGTATTCTGAGATCTTCGTCGGTATGATACGCCTCCACTTTCGCAGCTTCAATCTTCGTTACGGCTATGAGCATACGTTCTACGACGTTACTACGATGTGTGGAAGCGGGCGTTGCCCGTTGGGGCTACCTCCGGCGGAGGTCGTTTGCAAGTAGAGACACGGGGTCAGGCAGGAGGGAGTGATAAGATCGCCGCCAGATCATCTCATTCAGGCTGCGGGCCAACCATGACCGCTTAAACACAGTACTGATCACCCAACTCCAAAAAGAAACGAGCGGCTTTCAAATGCTGCTCCCAGACTCTGGTCGCCGACAAGACTATCCGTGCCAGTGTTGGCCCTGGCAGTGTACTCCCACCGCCTCCGAGCGGTGGCGTGGGATTCAGCAGCGCAGCAGTCGGTGGGGTTGCTCCCGCCGCAAGCGACGTCAGGAAATTCGCCTGCACTCTCCGCGGGAGGTCTCTGCATGGGGCGGAAGAGGGGGGGCGGGACGTCTCGAGTATTTGCGGGGCTTCTAGAGTTCTAGAAGACAGCACTTGAAGACCTTGCCCAAAACACCATGCCTGCCATCCCGGATTTTACTGGAGAAGATCTGCCTCCAGACGAAAGCTGAACCCCAAACATCCGTTCCACCTGTGGCGATGATGTGAGGGGCGGCGCTGGTGTCGAGATGACGGCCGCGGCAGTGGCTGTGAGCTCGGCGAGCTTCGACTGCACACAGGACCGGTTCCTAATGAGTTCGGGTTGCCGTAGTCGTGATCGTAACTGCAGCCGCTGCTGCCCCTCCTACCGCCACCACGACGACGACCACCACGACCACCACCAGGACCACCACCACCACCACCACCACCACCACCACCACAACAACAACAACAACAACAACAAATACAACAACCACAACCAACACAACCACCACCACCACCACCACCACCACCACCACCACAACCACAACCACAA